GTTTTGTGTGCCCACTTAGTAATCGCATGATTAGTTACATCCGCATGCATCATTACATATTAATTTTTGGTTACTGGGACTTTTAAGTCTCATTCCCCGTGGTTAATTTTTACAGGAGCGAATCCGGCCGAGAAAGCACCAGAGGTGTAATTATGGTGTATGAGACACCATCTTTTACGTTGCCTCTTATTTTGGATTATACAATGTATCTTGTGCCAACTTAGGATATATCTTGTCTATGGAGCATGTAAACTCTAATCCTTTTTATTAAATGCATTTATATGTCCAAGAGGATTATGTCTATCCCTTTTGATTCATGACCTAATTTGAATAACATACTATGAGGATCATGTCTGTCCCTCATGGTTCTAATTGCTTTTTGAGATATTTTAAGACCTGTGGTATATTGTCTTGGATGTATCATGGTAGAAATTTTTCTACCATGATAAGGGTCAATAAAAAAAAAAATGATTTGTTGAATTAATAATTTGCGAAAAATCGGTTTGTAAATTTGAGGGTGTTACACGCTCAACTCCATTTCGACTAGGTATCAGCTTTATTGCAAAGAAGACACTACTTTTAAGTTATGCAGTGAAGACATTCCTCCACCACCATTAATCTTTAAACTTCTATTGGATGTTGCTATCATACCAGCAGTTTAAGCTACACTCACAAGTACTAATTTCACATCTATATTTTTATATTTGATATATCAAATCTATTAGTTATGTTTACATAATATCTAATTATAAATTTTTTTGTCTAGATGTTTTTGGACTTGTGTCAAGAGTTGGTGACTATCACTAGATCAAGCAATGTGGCTATAATGTTGATGAGTTTATATTTACAATAATTGATGACCAGTGAGTTCTACCTTTTTATTTGCTCAGTGTTTATATTCAATATTAGTATATGTTGTTATTATTATGATTAATGTGATAGGTTACTGAATCTGTTTTTTATTCAATCTTTTTTATTTGTACTTTTATCAATTATGTGTTGTGAATGAGATATTTTTCACAATATATATAATATGGCAAGGTAGTTGATTGGCAAACTAAATTGAAAGAATTGATGCGTTTAATTGATGAAATAATATTGTTTAGAGTGATTATTTAACAATTATATATGCAGTTTGTTTCTTTATTTAATAACTATTTACTAATATATATTAATTGTAATAACTCTTTTATTGTGTTAAGCCGACTAAAATTTTTATTTTATTTTGGTTAATATTATGATTATTGTGATAGGTTATTAAGTTTGTTTTTATTTTATTTGCAAGTGAGAATTCATTTGATTGCATCTTTCATGAGTCTGCTATATAGTAGGCATATAACGAGGACAAGTCCATCAAAGATAAGAGTCGTGTCATTGTTGTTTTGTAATTTGCCCTTCTTGACATGACTAAGGGTGATTTTCTATGTGCCTTCTATTAGTTTAATTACCATTCAATAAATTTAACCAATCATATATTAAATAAAATTACTTTTCAGGCGCAACTGTTTTTAGGAGTTACCACAATGCAACTCGTGTTTTATGAAATTTTGACCACCCTAACATAGACTACTTCAAGTGTGCTTGCCGTTGTAAACATATACTTGAAGATAGTTCTGATAGTAGTGCATCACCTTGCCATTGTCGTGTTCATTGCAGTTGATTTATTTATTTACTAAATGTTTTTAGATATTATTTCATGATGTTTTGAAAGGATATTTTGTTTAAGATTGAGGAGTGATTTATTAGTTAACTATTTAGTATTTTGATAGGTATTTTAATCTTTGATCTTTATATTGGACCAACTTAGTTATGAATAAAAATATGTTGGTATAATGCTGGCGTACTATATATTGCTTTGTTCTTCAATTATATTGATGCATTTTTATTTTACATGCTACTTATATATTGTGTGGATCTAACATTGATCTAAAACAAAATCATTAACGCGTGGATCTAACACCAATATTGGAGCTATAAAAAATTATAGTTTCAATAAATTTCAATTTTTACTCATCAATCCAAAAAGGCAAAACTATTTTATAAATGGTCAAATTAATAAATCTTTGCAATCTAATAAATACAAAAAATAGACAATATTTCTAAACATGAAAATTATATTATTTCAATTCGAACACTATAAATTTTTTTTTACAGGTGATCAGCATTAATTCCCAATTTTAAAGTTTAAGATAACATCTTTAATAATAATATAAATTTCTTAAAATAAGAATTTTTTCCCGGTCGATGCCAGAATGTTCGCACCATAAATGCCAAATTTTATGACATTAAGATAATATATTTAATGAATAATAATAATAATAATAATAATAATAATAATAATAATAATAATAAATGTTCAAAATATTTGTCAATCATTATGTATTTAGTAAACTTCCAAATTAATATAACAAGGCTAGACTTAATATCACTAATTTAACACTATTTGACTAAGTCATTAATTTAAAGTTGACAATTATTGACATCAAAATATATTCATAAACTGAAAGGTAATTAGCGTCAATTAACACCAAGGTCAATTTTTGTTTATAACGTGGCATGAATTTGGATACTTATAATTTGGTAATTGATTATAGATGCCCTTGATTTCAGTTGAGACACATATCAAATAAATTCAATTGCCACCATGTTACTTACATAATATGAACTACTCGGATTCATTTGTTACATAATATGAACTATTAAAAAAAGAACACACCATGTATTCATTAGTGTTGAAATTGGCATGTGCCACTAATTCAAGTAAATCAATCTCTGATGATTCATTGTGTACATGGTTAATGAATTTTTATTATGTCATTACTGAATTTTTGTTTGACAAGTACCTGGTTTTTTTTTTTTGGTTGATAAATCCAAAATCATGTTTCAATTTCATGAAGGTTGAATTCATCACTAAATGTGGGATTTTAAGTGGAAGAAATTATTAGGATCTAAATCCACACAATATCAATTGACAATGATTGATATGATCAATAATTTAGTTCTTTAAATGATCACGTTAAATGTAGATTGTTGGTTCATGCAGTTAGTAAGCAAAATGAAGTGTCCAAAATTTATATGTGCACCGTATTATGAAGGTTGATTTAAGAGCTAATAAATATGGAAAAAGCCTTCCTTAGACCTTAAAATAAAAAAATCTTAAATTCAAACTCTTAGATAAAAAACCTTCCGCAATCATCACTTTTTGCTGCATTGGTGTAATTTATTTCCAAAAAGTTCCACTTAATTTAAAATAAATTCTCCTCCTCATTATGTGTGAAATTATTTGTGCATTAATTATATATCTATATATGTATATGTTATTTGAATTGATTGCTCAAATATTTGATTGACAATAAAAAATTTGCAATAGATTGTGAGGTTGACAAAAATCCTATTGATTTAAAAATTGCATTGGAAGCACAATATCAATTTAAATTAGTTAGGTGACTGATATATTTATGGAAGAAAATTTTGCACGGGAATAAAATCCATGTATATATAATTTGGATTAATTGCACAACGTTTAAATTTTAAATTGACTGTCACGTCTTTATGATCTGATTTCTTAAGGATCTTTGAATTTTATATATTGTGAAAAATAGTTTGACTTTAAATAAATTGGCAACTAAATCAAGAATCATAAACTACAGCAATTGATGTGATTAACCCACAAAATAGTATAAATTTTTCAATTTTATTGTTTATAAATTATAAATATGTACGTTATTTTATTGGTGATAATAATTTCTTATAATATATTTGGACTATTAAACATAAAATTTTCCCTAAATGCCATCTATTTAATATTGTAATCTAATACTTTAGTGATCCCACTATATTTCTAAACCAAATTACCTTGCTCATTCTCATTGACTAAAAAGTGCATTCATGTGGGTTTATTTCTTCCTTTTTAATTTCATTTCTCTTTTATGACTTTCACATTTCATCCGTTGAACATTAACCATGATGCGATACGTTGTAGGTAATGGCTCCACAATTTGACTATATTTGCTCTATCAACTTACTCCGAAGTGATTAGAGGATTAAGATTCGTGTAATTCAAATGTGGACTCTAAAGATGATTTTTCAAGATATAGATGTAAAGCAGTGTTATCTTTATTGGATGACTTTTCTTTTTTTTAAGGTTTTCTTAAAATGTATTTTCATGTTTAAATCTAACAATTTTAGGGTGATCGCATGCATGCTGTCGTGAAGAGGGTTTTTCTCTCAAAGTTCTTGCATCAATTGAAGGAAGGCAGGATATACATTATCTTGCAATTTGGTGTGGGCCAAAACACTAGATCATATAGGACAACAGATCACGCTTACAAGATAGACTTTCAATTCTCTACCGACTTTTGAGCACATGATGATGATTGTTCTATACACTTATATGAGTTTTTGTTCACCTTCGTAAGGCCGATGACAAGTACCTAATAGGTAAAAACCTTACACCTTTATTTCAATATATTAGTAGCATGTGGTTTTGATCTAAGCATTCACTTTTTTGCTTATAGACGTCATTGGAAAGATATCTGGCTTGAGTGAAATCCAAGAGCTTGACAAGGATGGAAAGCAACAAAAGAGGGTTGACATTGAGCTCGAGAATCCAAAGTATGTTCATTATTGTGCATATAGTGAACCATGTAATGATGAGAAAAATACTCACATATTGTCTATTATTTGTTTTATGTTCATTCTTTCCTCCAGTGAAAATCAACTTAGTTGTACCTTATAGGGGTTGTTTGTTGATGAGATTGTTGCTAACACTACAAACATAGGCCCAACTATTGTCATCTTGCAATGGTGCAAGATAAAGGAATATAATGGTAAGGTTTACATAAAATGACTACATGTATACCCACT